CGGCGGCTGGCTCCGGAGCTGTCACACAGATGGGCACTGGCCTTCTCACGCCCGGCGCTGGCGCACGGTTTCACAGATCTAGTTACTAAGAAAATATGGGAATTAAGAAACGGAGTGACCTTTGGAGCGCTGTCATTTCTGTACCTGCCTTCCTGTGATGTCTGCTGCGCTGCCTTTCTAATAATAACTTACCACATACTTTCTGTCTGAGTTAATTTCTCTGAAATCACAAACATTTTGTAACTTCTTCGTGGTTATATCATCTTTGGGTTTTTTTTCCCCCCCACTATTTCTTTACCCATCTCCATCTTACGGACAGACATGCCTTGCAAGTACCGCCCGCAGATGAAATTGTATAGCAAAGTGCTCAACATATGGGGTGTACACGTATTGTGCTTCATGAAATTTGAGTAACTCAGATCCGCTTCAAGCCACAAAATTCATAGATTTTTTTTTTTTTTTGAATTATGTCAGGGCACAGAAAGGGTTGACTGGTCCCTAAGGGACAGGGAGCTGGGGGCCCTCCCCAGGCTGGCAGGGCTGGGGCTGGTCCCATCACCCCCAGTGCAGGAGCAGGGCAGGGCAGGGCAGGGGGAGAGGTGGTGGCAACGCAGAGTCCAGGTCACTGACACGTGTGTGACGATCAGGAAGGTCTGAAGTCAATCCATGGGTCAGGGTCTGGATCAACAGCGCTCATAACCAAGCACAGGCAGGGCTGTAGCTGGGCAAGAGACCAGCACTCCTGCTCCGTCGCTGGGGCAGGGACTGGCAGCCCTGGACTGAGCGGAGGTGGAGTCCCTGGGCAGAGGCTGTGGGTGGGGGTCCCAGGGGTGGCCCGTCAGGACCATGATGGAACTATGAGTCCTCTTGAGGCCCTGAATGGTGAAATTACTATAACCTACCCTGCAATTGTCCAAATTGATAGGGAGAGTTGTCTGCCTTACCAGGAAACCTTTCTCGGTGTGGGGACAACTCGGGACAGAGGACACAGGGGAGGTGAGCGTAAATCAGTGTTTCCCATGGGGCTTTTGGCTAGCAGGGCTGAGCAGGTGGGTTGCTGCCAGGTTGGTCTCTGCTGAAGGAGAGTTGGATCCATCACCTCCCGTGCTGTCCTGATGACAGCCACTTCTGTCCCAGAGTTTCTAGTTCCCACTCCAGGCCCCCACCACTGTTAGTGACTTGCTAGGGATAGCATCCAGTTTTGATACTGCTTCCTACCCTTGTGTCATCTCAGAAACTTAAAAACCTCCTAATGCCTTCTCAGGAGAGCCCTGTATGGGCCTGGCATGCCCCCACACTGGGAGGCCTTGGCAGGCAGTGCAGGGCCACTGTGGTGACACCTGCCTTCACCAGTTTACACCTGGCACAGGCACCTCTGCAGGGTCTCAGGAATGGAAAGATTTTGGGGGAAGAGGACAAGCAGGGGCATTTTTGCAGAGGCAGAGCTCCCACTGGGCCTGACTGGCACCGATGTCTCTGCTTCATTGGGTTTGGGAGCTGGGTGTTGCATCGGGCAGCCTGGCTTCCTCTGTACCCGCTCAACCCCCCAGCCAGTCTGAGGCCGACGCTGCAGCTCCTGGCCCAGTGGGCTACCCCTGGTTTCAACCAGAGCCCCAACTGGCCCTTCAAATGCCATCAACTTCCATGCACCAGCATGATGAGATGATGAGGATGAGAGATGGGAAAGGGATATGCATGCAATTCCTTCACTGCTATCAAAACCTAAACCAGCAAACCCATCTGGGAGCCTCGGAATGGTGGGAAACATTGCCGAGGGTCCCTCTGCGCCCTCCAGCCCCGCAGAGCTGGTAACATGATGGCAAAGTGATGGAGGGGAGCGCCCTGCCCACCCCTCTGGCCCCACAGCAGCCACCTCCACCCTGCTGCTCCCTGAAACACGCATTGCCCTGCAGCCGCACACGTCCTGGGGCGCGGAGTGCCCGCACCCCTGCCCTCGCAGCCGCCCTGGGCACCCCTGGGCGAGCACTCAGTCAGGCCATGAAGAGCTGAGAAGAATGGTCTTCCTCACCACCTCCCATTTCTTCCTTTTTGCTGAATTCACCTCAACTCACATGCAGATGAGGAGGCTGGTTTGCTGCAGGAAAAAATTGCCACTTGGGGTTTCTCCCTAGACAGCTAGAAGCGTAACTTGCCCTTCCCTGCTCGGCTGAGCTTCCAAGTGTGCTGAAGAACACTTTCCTTGTGCTCTCATTCTCAGTTCCTGCAGCCCCGCGTGCTTGCAACAGGCCCCTGAAGTCCTAAAGTCCTATGCTCAGTTCTTGCAGGGAAACTTCATGCCAGCCTCGTAAATCCTCAACAGTCCATCAGCAGAGCCCTTCAAGTGTAACGCTGTGGCTCAACAAGGGCCTCAGCAACCTTCCTTACCTTTTTGGGCATCATCATCTGTGTTCTTTTCAATTTTGTGTATGCAAACCCAGGAATTAGTCATGTTCCTACAAAAAAACCCCAAACAAACAACCCAAACCAAACCACCAACCTGCATTTTTCATAAGTTGCATGAGTTTTGACTGATGAAAATTTGAATTCTTTCCAGCTCATACCGAGGACATAGAAAAACTGGCAGCGGGCGGTGTCTGTTCATCTGCCAGTGAGGGGGTTTTGTTTGCTTTTTTTCTTTATCCAGGCATTGTGCCCTTGGATATTTGTTTGCTATATCTATCTGCTCTATAAAATAAATATATTTGCTATAAATCACTATAAAACCCAAATACAATAATCTTTCAAAAAACTTGTTCTGGTGAGGAATCATACAACATTCAGATGGTTTGAAATATTGAAAACATCTTTTAATTGTAGAATTCTATACAAACTTGGGTAGATACAGAAGTGGTCACGACAAAATGTGTTCTTATTGCCTGAAATTTTTCACAGAAATAGAAACATTGATGGCAAGCTTACTGACATCCAACATGATGAGATATCTTTAAACTTGCAAAATGAATAGACACAACAACACTCCTAAGTAGTTTGTATGTGTTTGACTGTCCTTGATGTCCTACTACTTATATACCAACCTCAAAATACAAAGAACCAAGATTAAAATTTTTAATGCACATCACATAATAATGTAAAATAAAGCACAAGAAAAGGTAAACAAAGTGTAATCCTGAAAACACACTACTTTTTTTTACCTAGGGCACTGACTTATTCCAAGAATGATTTCCTGTATAGTTGGGTTTTAAGTGAGGCACACATTTTTTTTTCTGCACAGGACATCAATATCTGATGGAGATACAAGAACGAATGGCAACGAACAAAGGGAAAGAAACATAATCACAAGTGGAACTCAAACTCCATGCCAGTGTTCTTGCAGCCCTAAGCAAAGCTATACATTAAAATATGCTACAACCATTGTTCTCAAAAAGTCCTTGGCACTTTTCCTCCGATAATCTTACTTTCAGGTTTTTTAAAAAAACGGAGCAAATTACATTTCTGCACCTGTATCATAAGGCAAAACTATAAATGCAACTACAAGGACAAGTTACCAAAAAAACCCCAAGCCAAAGATAACCCCCACCCTCAGACCGTCACCCCCGAACTCCAAACGCTTGGTAGAATAATTATCATCCTTCCTCCTCGTCACTGTCTTTCATAGTAATGCCCTGAAGTCCTCCCGCATCCGTGACTGAGACTGTGGCTTCCTCTACGGTCAAGCGGCTGTGAACGGTGTCGTAGGTTTTACTGTTCAGCGTTCCCTCCAGCACGCCTTGCAACCTGAAGTCGCGGTAGGTTTTCTGTGGTAAAAAGAAAACATCCTGAATTGGACTCGAGCAACCCTGAGCAGTCTTCCACTGCACCCTGGCCATTTCTAGCAGGCCAGCGGAACAGCTTTGTTCCTCCTGCAGTCAGGGACCCATCATCTAGAGTTTGCTAAAGGTTTTGCAGTCTGAGTTTCTGGGCGGCATGAGATTTCTATAAACTCTAGAGAGTCTATGAGCCACACTTTGATGTTCATGCCTTTGAGAGATTGCGTTTTGTACTGCAATTCTATAACGGTATGCTGATTTCTCGGTAACTTGTATTTGTCTCATTTATTCAATAAGAAAAGCCAGCAAAGAATTTTTCTAACTGCATGTGAATTTGGCTACAGGTGGTTCTGTCATTTCACAAAAAATGTAAACATCTGACTCTTTCCTCATAATATGACTTTATTTGCATTTATCTTTGTATTTATATGCCAAATGTGGAAAAATAAAATAAATTTTAGATTACAATCTATATTCTACAATGTACACATTTCTCAGGCACCTACTTCAGTCAGTTAATTTACCTTCTAAGTCAACTACATTTTGACTCACTTCTACATGTTTCTTTTTTTTTTTCCCCCCCTTTGTGTCCCTGGTATCCAGCCTTCCTATGAACCAGCAGATATGACTTTATTCTTTGACTTTCTATCAAGTAAGAATTCTGAGTGGAATTGTTTTATTCATTGACGCTATGTTCAAGTGAGCATATGGAAAATCATCTACTCCACCGTCTTTATTTTCAAATTGTAGCACGTTTGAAATCATCTTTCCTGAAGTTAACCTAAAAAGCTTAAGAAGGACAAGTTGATCTAACTAGTTTCTTATTTTGTGTATGCTGTTACTACACATTCCCAATGTTTATGGAAGAGAATATGGGAAAATGAAAATGGAAGATAATTAAGGGCTATCAGGCCCATTCCTTTGCTGGAGGAGACCGTGTACAACCCTTAGAGAAAGAGAAAAGAGCTGATCGTGTTTCACTCAATACTTCAGAGAACTGCAAAAGACACCTCTCAAAATGGGTAACATTCAGCTGGGAGAATTTTTTCTGCCACAATCTATGATGATTATTTAAACCTTGTTTGAATCACTGCAACCGAGATTTATTTGACTTTCATAGGTCAACTTCAGAGTCAATGGATGCAGCTTATGTTTTGCTCACGCACTCCTGTGAGTACCCTGCCTGGTCTTTTTCAAGTGTCACCACTGCATTCCCTTTTCATAACACTGTGCATTCAATTTCCTTTTATGCTGTTAACAGGTCCTACAGCAATTTCTTTCAGTTTTACATTGTAATCCTCCCATTCTCAGACCAGCACTCCGGGGTTCAGTCACTGCTCTTCTCTTGACATACTTTTGCAGGATAATAATGTTCACTTCCAAGCTTAATTTTTCATTTCTCCCTAACTTTCTTCTTGGTCCTTGACCCTTCTTTGGTCACATCCCTCTGCATGTGTCTCAGACATCTGGCGATACCTTTATGCCATCATAAAGCTTTAATGGGAACAAACAACGTGTCTTCTGGTCGTTCGTAATAATGCCGCTACCTTTGCTGCATCCAAACATGAAAGAATCATCTATTTCTTATTCATCCCATGTCCCTTAAAAATGACCTCCTACTTCTCTTTTGGAATATTCTCAAGAGATGACAGGGGAAACACAGCTTCTCAGGTTTTCCAAAAGCAAACAGAAAAGTGCCTTCATTCACTCTAGAGCTTGGAGTATCTATGCCTCCCCATGTGCCTCTCCCCATCTGGGCTGCATCAGGGAAAGCTCCTTACGATACTCTGTTTGAACCGTTGTTTCCTATTTCCCAGCAGCCTCCTGCTTGCTGAGTTCCGGTTGTGTCTTCTCCACCCACCAAAACACAGGTGGACAAGATTTTTCTGTCTTCCAGTACCTTGAGCAGAACCTCTATGCTTGACATCATCTTCTTTAATCTTCCGTATCCCCAGAAGGTGCCATGGAATAACACACTTGGAATTCATGTGCAAAGCACACCAGGTGTATGGGCACAGAAAGACTATTGCCATAACTGGTGGGTTCCCACTGCCTCCAGGAGCCTGCTTCTTTTGAGCGAGGCTAATCAATGTGCCAGGCTGCCGAGGGAAGGCTGGTTGACAGTGCTGCTCATTCACCTGAATTTCAGTTTTGTAAGAGCCTCTTCTTTTAATCTCCCAGGTGGTATTTAACTGGTATAATTTAGCCTGCCCATTCTTAGATCTCACTGGGCAAAGGTTTTAGATCCTGTACTACTTCCCCCCCTCCCGGAGGATGCTAACTACCTTCACTTGAGAAGAGCTTTAAACCTTTCACAGAGCCATCCATTTCAACCACAAATAGCAAACTGCTTTTGCCATTTTGGCATATAAAGGAATGAAGAGCCAAATCCTGTTCCCAGAGAAATCAGTTAAGGTCAAAAATAGCAAAGCTAAGCTTGGGTGATTCAGGGAGCCATGATGCCATCATTTTTATGACTGTTTTCTTGCATCTCTCTCTTTTTTTCCTTTCAGCTAGTGAATCCTGAAAGTTGCAGTTGCAATTCTGGTGTCCACAAGTTAAAATGCTTCTGACTTTACAGTCTTGCATGAACTTCAGCAGAAAATATTTTGAAGAAATCAAGCTCACCATTGACAACAGGTGCTTCTCATTCCACATTTATACAGATAACAAGAATGTTCAGACTTAAACGAGACAGAATTAAAAGGAAAAAAATCTGAAATGGCTTTCTGTCTCCTGCCTAAGGGTATTAACCAAGAGCTGACAGGGAGCTAGGAGGAAACTTTCTTTTATGGTAGGTTAACCCGCAATTGCCTGTTGCAAGGTATTTTACACTTTGCTCAGAAGCATTTGACGTTGGCCAGTGTAAATGACTGAGGACTGGACTGGAGGGATTGGTATTTCTATTGATAGTTATCCTGGAGTATGGAAGATTAGAAAATGCAACCTAATAAATTGAATATTGTTTTCCAATTGAACCTAGTGATCACATATGCATAAAAAAGAAAACAGTTACTTTTTAGGAGAGTGGAAAAAATGGAGAAAGAATGCTATTTGGATTACTAGGTAAACAAAAAAAAAAAGAGTAATATGACAAACAATAATTTATTAAGAACGCCATACAGCATTGCTGTACAGCTAGCAGTAATCTGTTAGAATTCCTTGGAACAATCTTAATTGCCACTGAGTCCAGAGTGGATGACAATTACTACTGCACATATAATTAACATTAGACGTTTTAATACATTGTTTTTCTTCTGAAATTTGCTACAACTATGAAAAAAAATCCCAACCTGAAACTACATAAATTCGCAACTTTATTCCACATCTTAAAATTTTTTAACTTTTAGGGTGATCTATACTTGTCCATGTTAATACTTTATCAATTTCCTCTCTTTACTACGCAGTCTAACACAAACACATTTTATTTACCTTCACTATCTTGATGAGAGTCTTCAGCTGGTAGATGTGAAGCTGAAGGTCTAATCTATCAGCCAACCACATGCATATGACTTTCATGGAGCTGCTATACCATTGCTGAAAAGAAGGATAAAAAAAAAAAACAACAACCCACCAAACAACCCTGCAGCTTTCATTTAACAGATTTGGTAATGAGAGGTAATGAAACACTTTGAAATGATCACAGATCAGCACTTGAAGTCAACAATGATATAATTTCCTGTTAGGAGAATTGCATGGGTCAGTAGGAAATCAAATAACTTGACCTAGACTGTTCTTTACATGAATTAGCAACTGCCATTTTATCGTTCAGTTACAACGTTTTAAAGCAAAATAGCGTCATGCACTTTGTTATCTGTCAGTACGAATGGATATTAAACACACAATTACACGAGAGAATTGACAGCTAGAGCAGCAGGGGAAAAAAACAGGTAGGGTTTCTTGAGAGAGAATTTGCAGTACTTAGATTTTCCAACCCAAACAGGAAAACAGCATCAACCATAGAACATGGAAGCTATCTTGCTTTTTTCTTTTAAATCACTTCTTTATTAAGTAAAAAAAAAAAAAAAAAATCATAAATCCATGGAAACTATATTTAAGTATGATCAAACCACCACTCTACCCCTCCCAAAATAACCACGTTAAGGTTTTCTTTAATGTTAATTACTAATTATAATGACAGCCTACCTTATTTCCTTTTTATGTCTTAGGCATGGGTATGTTTTCACTCAAAGCTTCCCAAATGGATGGGGTAAGAATAAGCTCTCTGCTGTTGGTGTCTATGCTACCGTAAAAAAAATGCTCAGATCCAAATAGCTACTATAATAGTTCTTTCACATTAACTGGATTAAAAGAGATTTTACTAAACATGGTTGTAGCAGTTCTCCTTCCCCTCCTGTAAAATACCAACCAGATGTCATTTAGTCAAACTGTAAAAAGGAAGGGATTTTTGGTTTGTTTTTTTTTTTTTTTTTTTTTTTTTTTTCTTTTTGCAGGTAGCTTTTTCATTTTAGCAGTGAGAGATTAAAAGAGTTTGTGTCGTAGCTCTGTTTCTAGTCTCTTTCCCCACAGGGAAGAGGCTTAAATTCTTTTCTAATGTAATTTCCTGTGTCTTTACAAAATACCCAGATATACAAGGAGAGGAAGCACTGTGCAGCGTGTGAGGCAAGGTATGCATCGTGAAGGAATTCAAAGGAAGGGTCCAACGTCTCTCACTAGCCACTTCCACATTAACAAATACAATAAAATATATATGGAAAAAAATGAAGACAAATTACTGGCTACTGGATGCAACAAAAGGCAGAAATAGAGTTCTTTCACCAAAATGTAAGCTCTCTGGAAAAAGCTTTAAAGATATACAGTGAATATATGTAAATACTTTTTCCTTACAGGGAACAGTCTCATCACATTGTAGCTATCAGTTTTAAGATAAGATAAAAATAAGATTTTCAGATAACAATAGCTTCCATTTATTTTGTTTAATGTGTTAAAATGTATATTAATTATAAATCACCGGAATAAATGACTTCTACATTTTTTAGAGTTTCTCCTATTGCTATTTTACAGACGTGATCAGACACACTGCACAAAATGCAGACAGCTGCACATTTCATAAAAGTGGTCTGATTTATTCATTATTTATTATTTATGGGACTGACTGGGTATCGATAAAATACTGGTTTTTATCACTGAATGACACTCTTACACTATTTGTATTATTCCACCCCAAACACGCATGCTGGTTTTGATTTTCTTTATAAGTACCTGTAAAATATTTTTACTGTGAGAGAGTCGTTACTAAGTGGCAGCTGTAAACTACATGACAGGTGTCATATGCATACAGATGTCTAGAAAATAAAATACAGTTGAGCTTATTCACTCGGGGAACCCTATTGATCTAATAACCATAAAAATTCATATGCCCAGCATTCTACCCAGAATATCTGTTGTTATTTGCAATAAGATGAGTCCAACATTACGACTCAGACTCTACAGTTGTTAATCTTTAACATAATCATGGCAGAGAGAACAATTTTGGTAGTGGAGTTTTCTCAGAACTGGTATTCTGCCATAAAAAAAAAAAAACCAGCAACGCATCCACGATGTGTTTTGTTTGTATCAAGTAGAAAGCAGGAGGGGCTCTAAGTTGCTCACATGAACGAACTACAGACAGGATGGAAAATTCTGTGGTTGGTTTCCCCATGCAGCAGCACGGAATGGTGCCGGATCACTGAGAACAGACCCAGTCCCAGTTTTCTGGCAAAACGTGTGTTTCAAAGCGCAGCCAGACACGTTAATCAGATGGATGCAGTAGAAATCAGACTCCTCACACATATCTGTGATATGCTTACATGCACTGAAAGTGGAGCTAAGAAACTGGAGGGAATTAATTTTGCTACTCAGACTTGTGAATGAAAACAACAGAACATGTTTTCCTGACTAGTTTTGATACATTAAACTTTCGGTAGAAACGTTTAATTTGGTGACTATGAGGTGATACTATGGTACTTGCTCCTCTGTCAACGTACGTTGTTCAGAAAAAATACGACTGCTATTGTATTAGAAAAAGATGTATTCTTATGCTGAATTGTCACAGTATTTTTAATAAAAATCACATCCAGTATATTTTTAGAGTCCCCCTAGAGATATTTGTGGATAGGATCCCTGTTCACTGCTGGCCTTACACCCACTAGATGTGAGCACTTAGTATAGGCTGAAGCTGCATAAACATAAATCTGCCGGACTTTGTAAGAAGAAAAGTAAATATTGCCCTATCGCTTCTTTTGGAGCCTGTTAAAATGCACAGCACTGCAAATGCCTCTCAGAGGTGGAAACCAAGGCCACACATTTTGACAACCGTGAGCATGTTATAGAGGCAGGGAGGCATCTCCTGTGACTTATGGGAATCTACTGCAAACCCCAAAGCTTCAGCGATTAGATAATGGTCCTGACATTACATGGTTTTAAAGTAATCATAATAATAATTAAAAAAAAAATCCTTCCAATTGGTTTTAAGAAAAAGTCACTTTCCCGCTAGTAACAATAACACTGAAGGGACAATGCCACTCTTGCAGACGTCCCTGATAGGGTATCAGTGCCATATTCTCTGCTGTCGCCTATGCAAGAATAAAGCAGTAAGTGTTTATTATATATTTTTTTCACATCAGCACATAACAGCAGCCAACCACTTTAACAAAAATGTGTTTGCCTCCCTGTTCCCCTTCTTATTCATAGCTCATCCAGCTCCTGTAAGGGCATGCATTACTCACTTCATTTTCCTGAGATATCTCTTTTAAAGTAAAAAATAAGAGAAAAGGAAAGGCTAGGGTTGACTCTGTGAGACCCCTGTATTTATTCACACTTATTGTGCATGACTGTAGACTGGTAAATCATATTAGCAGCCTGTCTCCCCATCAAGCTGCTACTTGCTTTCCAGCCCTGGGAAGGTTCAACAAATCAACAGGAGCACGGAAAACAGAACATCAGTCTAATCTAGTGTTTAAGGTGAAGTTTTCAAACCCAATCTAAGAAGATCTTTAGAGCAAGCAACAAGCTGAAGGGCTCAGAAGCTGGTATTGACAATGATAGAGTGTTGAAATATTGAGAAGCGCAGCACTTGTGCATTTTTAATAACAAGAGGGTCAACAAGGACACAGCTCCCTCAGTGCCAATAGTTGCCACACCAGGGCTATAAACGCTCTCAGTTCATCAGATTTCTTAAACAGTTCATCAGCTTTCTTAAACACCCTAAACCCCCTCAGCGGACCTTTAGTCTTAAATTAACAAACCAAAGCAATGAAAGAGGGTGCAGCTTGAATGGCCAGCATTGATCCCCAACGGGGCTCGGCGCGGCTACAGGCACTGAAAAACTCGCTCCATTGTCGGGAGGAATTGACAAACCTCCGCGCCTAAATAGTCCAGCTGAGGCGGGCTGGAGGCACGCAGCTGTAAAGGGCTCCCCTCGCCCCGCTCCCAGCGCTCACAAAGCGCCAGGCATGAGCTCTTTGTCAGGCCCAGACTCTGCAATTTTCTAACAAGGATTAAAGTTGTTTCTCGGCAGGGCCAGTGAAAAGCGATTTAGCAACACACCGTGCTTTCTTCAAGGCGAGTTAAAGAGAAGTAGTTAAGGAATTTCATTATTCTGTTGACCGGTGGAAATACAAAACAAATATATTAAATATTCACCGTCTTTCAGGGTGCCTGAGCTATAACATTTGCAGAACGGTTCAATTAAATATAACACTTATTGGCTGAGAGCAAGCACTTCAGATGTATTTTTGAAGTTTTACAAAAAGGTGCAGCTGTTTGCCACCTGGAAGGAGGCTCAATACATACGCATACACAATGCTTCAGCCCTTCTAGGGCCGGTATCTCTAACGCCTGAGACACAAGACCCCGTTGAGTTTCTGTATCTTGCCTGCTCTTGATAAATGGGCACTGTCAAAATGCTTTTTCTGCTGAATATGGCAGGGGGAACGGCTTTCCTAGGAACTGCATTTTGTCTTCCTACCGAAGCCTTTATTGCACTATTGATCAGGAATTGAGTCGCTCAGACGGCAACGGGATGGTTTTACTTCCTCTGGTTCTACTTTCCCTACAGGAACAGTCACAGAAAGTATTCTCACTGAAGAGATTGTGTGCATCAAGGGCAGCGTTGGCTAAAATGCATAGGAGATACTATGAGCATATTCAGTATGAAACGCTAACATGCCCGGGTTCTTTATTAAAAGGTAATGCTGTTGCAGTGTTTCAAGATTTTGGTAGCTAGCAATAGTAGTGTGCCAAGGAACTTTTAGAACATTTAAAAAAAAATGTTAAACAACGAATGAGTAAATAAGTTATCCCTTAAAAATGCAAACAGCAGAAGTTAGAAAAAAGTTCCTGATTTAAGTTTCATAATTTATTTCCCTCTTTGCAAAATATGAGTAATCATCCTGACTTCCTTTGTTGCATGTTAATGATAATGAGGGAAACGAGTGTTATTTGTAGTGTCTTTGGAAACACTCCGAGGTTTAGAAGTTATAGCTGTATTTTCAAGCTCAGGTATAGACATTACCCGCTGAAATGAGGATTTTTAC